GGAATGTTGCACGCAACGTGGTCTGCAACGACGCTCTGCAAACCGGGCAGCACTGGGCCCTGCTAAAGGGAGCTCCCAATTTGACAATAGCCCTCTATTGAAGTTGTTATTTTTTTTCTTCCACTCGTGGAACAAGCACAATAAGGTTATTCATTGTGTGGGTAACCTGACCTGCACTCGTTGTGCTTCTGTTTGTGTCGAGCTGTTTTAACCACAGAACTAGACGGTGCTCTGTTTCCAAGGGTACATAACATATTCGCCTTCGTGATTCTCTTCTTATCTTTCATGCTTACACTGTTTACTCCGCTGAAATATTCTTTGGGTCTTTCGGTAAAGTCACGTAGATAGGTTCAAAGAAAATAACAAAAAATAACAAAAAACTACGACGTTTCGATTACAACACAAGAAATCGTCATCAGGAGGCAAAAGCATATCGCGTATATTTTATTTTTTTAATTCGAAGGCCGAGCAGAAAACTCTTGTGTCTAGATCCCCTGCCAGGCTTCTTGGGCTCGGCTGCCAGGCTACAAGGGAGGGCGGGGTGAGACCCTGGGCCTCCTCGCATCTTCTGCAATCGTTAAAGACAGGGGAGTTCATTTTAGTTGCATGGCTCAGCGTTTGTGCACATTTGTTGCAAAGCAGAAACGATGGCATGGCAAAGTTTAACGTGGGACGGTGCACAACATATGAAGAGAAACAAATTAACGTGCGGGGAAGTTGCACCTTCATAAAAGATGCAGTAATGAATAATAATAATCATGATGCTGAGCTGTCTTTGACAGAGCCGCCCTCTACCATGCTGGGGTAACTTGGCCCAGCTGTGGCACGTTCGCCGCTCATTGCAGAGGTTGGCGATTTGAATCCAGCTGGTGCCCTGATTAATCCCGCTAGTCTACGCACCGTCCGCTTCACAGTGGACACTTACAGATGTCGTGACACTTTTACGGGAGTAGGTCTTTGTGTGCCAACGTCATGATCCATAATTGCCAATTTAGAAAAAACTACCCGCAAATAATTCCATTGAGATTATTTATAAGGGTGTAACCCCCCTATTGACAGGCGCCGGTTCCTGGCTGCCTCCAGCTGGCCTGCGACTTCCTGCCCTTATGATCCGATAGACCGAATGGGCTCCATCTCATTCGTAACCTCCCTCATGTTCTGATGTGATCTCAACTGAGTAACATCAATGCTTTGATGCCTGCCCGCCGGGGTGGATTTGCTGACCATGTGTACAAGTCCAAATGCAGCTCAGACCCCAAGGTTCGTGCAACCAGAGCAGGGTGCAGCCACAGCAGGGTGCAGTGGCTGGGGACCGGTGTGGCCGGACTGTGTGCCCGGGCAGCCCGCGTGCTGCGCTGCCGGGAATCGGCACGGCCGGTGTGTGTGTGTGTGTGCGCGCGCATGCAAGTGTGTTAGCGTGCTGCGCTACTCACACGGCGACCCGAGTTCAATTCCCGCTCACGACCACTAACATTTGCGAATATGTTAACCGTCCTGGGCCTCCCCTAGTTCGACTCGGCCTCAATTGAGTTTTTTGGTGTAAGTGTAAACATTGCCTCTAGGCAGACAAAGGCGGTTCATCGGTGCTACTCGCTAAAATCACTTGCCCCTACGGTCTATTAAGGCTATACCGGGGGGGGGGGGGGGGGGTCTGTTTCTTTGTGTGCGCCTGAGCGGTGTCCTGGTGCCGCGTGACTCCCACTGCGTGCGTGTGTGTGCGTGTGTGTGTGTGTGCGTGTGTGTGTGTGTGCGTGTGTGTGTGTGCGTGTGTGTGTGTGCGTGTGTGCGTGTGTGTGCGTGTGTGTGTGTGTGTGCGCGTGTGTGTGTGCGTGTGTGTGTGTGACCTTGGGGTGTGGCAGGGATGTCCTCTGGCTCCCACATTATTTAACATCTATTTTGACCGCGTAGTTCGTGAAGCCTTCAATAGCTGTACCGGGGAAATTTCCGTTTGGTACAGATATAATGGGAGGCTGATCGACGCCCGGGTGCGATCAAGGGATGGCTCCCTATTAGTCAACCACGTTATGTATGCCGATGATTTGGTAATAGCTGCTCATTCACAAGAGGAGTTGGAGACGCTGCTGAGACTGGAGCGTGCCACTAAGAGGTGGGGCCTTACCATCAGTCCCACCAAAACTAAGCACCTGCCTGGGTATTTTGTACCATCGGACACTCCACCCCCACAACTCCCAATCGGTGATGGGGCAGTTGTGGAGAGAGTGGAGAGTTTCCCATACCTGGGCAGTGTGCTTATGACCGGCTCCAGTTTAACAGCAGAGGTCTCACTCCGAATCAGTTGAGCGGCAATATCTTTTCATCGGTTGCGTAACGCTGTGTGGAAGCTACCTGGTCTGTCGCTCCGCACGAAGCTTAAGGTCTTCTCGGCCACGGTCATTCCCTCCCTTCTCTACGCTTGCGAAACGTGGACCCCCCTAATGGAGCATCTTCGCCGGTTGGAAACATTTAGGCTGGCCTGCCTACGATCCATCCTGGGTTTAACCAGGCTGGATTGTGTGAGGAGCTCACAAATCCTTGAAAGATCTGGGCAAAGTCCCATCGGTGAGCTCCTCCGGCAGGCAAGGCTGCGTTGGCTGGGTCATGTAGCCCGCATGCCCAGCCACCACATGCCTAAACAGCTTTTGTTCGGCCGGATCGAGGAGGCTAAACGGGCGCGGCACGGGCTAAAGAAGAGATGGAGTGATGTGGTACAGGAGGACGTGGAGCTGAGTGGACTTGCCGATGACTGGTACCAGCGGTGTCAAGATCGGCCTCTGTGGAGGAGGTTCGTGAAGGACGCTACTGGGCAGTTGGAGGCAGTCACCCTCCAACAACAACGGAGGGCGGAGGAGCGATGCTCACAACAACGAGCGGAGCGCCGGGTGGCTAAAGCACAGTAGGGGGCACAGGTGGTGCATCAGCCAGTCATCTCGGTCATCTCGGTCAGTCGACCCGTGGCACCTGCTGGGTCTGCCCCGTGACCTCCTGCCAGCGGGCGTTCGACACTTCACATGGCCTCAAGGTGCACATGGCCTGGCACAAGCGTCGTGGTGACGTCACCGCCACTTAGTGGCGAATGGCGGTTGTTGTTGTTGTTGTGTGTGACGCTATTGTATCCCTGCCACGTTTCAAGACGATTCCCACTCCGTGTCTTGTAGTAGTGGCCGGGTCACTCTTGCAAACGAGGCTCTATCCTGGTCTCCTGAGTTCTCAACTGCTTAAATTAAAGCGGCCTGTTAACTTGAGTTTTAATGGGCAGTTGGACTTATAATATAAATATTAATAATGTTACTGATTAATACATTAATCTCTACTTCATCTTCTTTCATACGTGATATTTTAATCTTCGTAACCAATTTGATAACCAAGTTATTTGCGTGATTTTGGCCGAGTGTACAACGCTGGTTTTCCACGTCGTGTTGTTCTGCTTCCCCATTTGGGGGGCACGCGTCTCCTCACAGAGCGAGGCTTTCAGTCCCACACGGCCGCTTATGGCAATAACATTTTGCGGCGCCCCCTGCTTGCGGCTCCGCACTCAAGCTGTGACCTGGCCACCCCTCCTGACCGCCATGCCTCCCGCACGGTTGTCCTCCCCTCGGTCAACGCAGGGAAGCACTCGGAGTGCCCGCGCTGTGCCTACAGGCTCCGGTGCGGGGCTCGCGTGATACGACCTGTGTTGAGTGAGCGTGCGTGAGGCTTGGAAGTCACGCGGATATGAATATGATTTAATAATGACAAAAAAAAGCTTTTAACCTTTCTGAAATAAATGCAGGTGGTGTTAAGATGTACGCCAGAAAGGATGAAGCCTTTTTATCATTCAATATCTGGATACTGGTAAAAAGGTCCCATCGATGTCAGTGTTTACCCCGAGCTGTTAATGCATTGGCGTTTGCATTGTCCTTGTACTGTTCACCTTTTGGCAACCTTCGGCCTATAGGACTCGCGGCGGTGTGACAAAACCAACAAAGTGGCTGTCTGGTGTAGGCCAATCAGTTTCAAGGACAGTGCTAGAAAATCTCGTCTTATCCTAACGTCATTTGTATAGTGCCTTATCCAAGGAGCCTTACGGAGAATTGAGAATGGTACATGTGAATGTAATCGGGTAGATGAGGTGAATAAATTATGAGAGAAAACAATGGGGGCGAATCTGTGATGCGTGAATTCGGTGAAAGCGAAATTGATGACAGTAAATGATGATGAATGGATTGACTGAATGGGGAATGAGTGGGAGCCATGTAATGAGAACATGAAGAGGAAACAGTGACGATGGTGGTTACGAGGGGGGGGGGATTAAGGGGGGTCGTGGGGTGAACCAGGGAACAAGAAGTGAGTTTTGAGTGAGGAGCGGAAACAAGAGAGCGAAGGTGACTGCTTAATCTAGAGGGGGGGGGGAAGTTTGATCCAGTGAAGGGGGGAGCGAAAGCGCGGATTGAGCACTCGGAGAAGGAGGAACAGAGAGAGGACAGCAAAGATTGTGAACGCATCAAAGCATTTTGTTTGCATTCTTTACCACGAGTCGGTGTGGTTGTTACAGACTGTTGATGCCTTGTAGTAGGTGTCTGTCTGGTGTTTGAATATCTTAACTCCTCCGGTATTTATGCCAGAAAGGGTAAAGCCTTTTTTTATAATTGAATATATTGATACTGCCAAAAGGGTCCTTAAAATATTAGTATCATTGTTTTGGTTGTTTTATATAACGTAGCAAAACGCCACACAATTTGTGACGTACAAAGTTGTTGCACGGAGGCATGAGAAACCACGGGCATTAAAAAGTGTTTATACACGTGGGAGGAAACCGGAGTGCCCGGAGAAAACCCCACACCTGCACGGTGGGGTAACACTCATTCTCTGCACAGAAGGAAATGAGAAGCACCTTCAACTCTGAATGCCGATGCTTATACATAACAAACTTCACAAGACGTGGTGGTGGTGGCTTCCGACATTGTGATCCGGCTAACGTACGAACCCTTCGTGTGTGCGTGCGCGTGTGTGCGCGTGTGTAGGCATGGCGACGATCTCATCGTCACCCCGTTTGCCCAGGTGAGTGCAGTGTGGCACAACCTGCGTGGTCGTCCCGCGTGAGGCCCAGGCAATAACTGAGTGTGGTTGGTTCTCCGCACCATCGTCCCTGTAGGCGCAGGGTGATCGTCACACGGCGAGGTGCTGCGGCTGTGTTTTACCGACGCAGCCTGCACTCGTTTCACAGTAGGAGGGGCGCGATGTTGCTGCTCTGTCTGTGATCCCAACTGAGCAATTTTTTTTCTGGAAAATTTTAACCGTGATGCCTGGGATCTTTGATGTCCACTGCGAAGCATTCGGCTTGTGGTACTTGGCGGCTAATGCAACCTCGCAGTGTCAACCAGGGTGGCCTGCCAGAATTAAACCACGACCCTCTGCAAAGAGCGTCAAACGCGCCGCCGTTGAGCCCGCCGCATCACCGCCCCGAACGATCCCCCACGAGCGCTCCGTGCACCGCTCTCACAGCTCAGCCCCTGGGTTCACGTCCTAGACTCTTGACTCGCCCACCCACGATTAGATTGGCTGTCACCTGGTTGCTATCGCAATTGTTCCATTGAAATGCTCATTGTAATTTCATACGTTTGTGTGTGCCGGGTGGTGGGGGGACGCGCGGGGTCTTATGCTGACTGCGAAAAAACCAAAGTGTCGCGCAAACCCGGCTGTGCCGTGACCACAAAACGGCCGCGGTGCGTTTCGGTGAACGTAGCCAAAAATCAAACCCTGGATGTTGGAGACGGGGAGGGCATGCCGAGGCATGCGCGCGTGCGACCCGTTGCGTGGGAGCGGACGCCCACTCGCGACGCCGCGGTCTCGGACCGAACGCTTTTCCAACAACTGAGGCTCGGCGGCTTGGGGCGAGGCCGGCCGCGCGGTCAGAGTCCCGGCGTGCGGGGCAGACGACCGCAGAGTCGACCTGTGACCCTGAAGACGAGGCCAACGTTTTGAACGGTGATCGATTGACCGTCGTCGGCGATGACGATGCAATCGCGTGATGCCGGAGTTTTGTAGCGATGCAGGTGACGGTAGTGACGTTAGAGGTTGAGGACCTCGCGGTTGATGACACCGAGTAACAGCGCTGTTGATGTGCTCGACGACAACGCGGCTATAAGTGGTGAGAGAACGGCGGTGATGGTGAGCGTCACCGCTGGCGGTGAGAAGCATGGCTGCTCGTGGCGATGGAAGAGAGACTACGGTGTGATGGTGATGGCGATGCAGTAAACAATGTGTTTTTATGGCGGTGGTGGTGATGTTGCAGCAGACGATGTGGTTTGATGACGATGGTGATGTCTCCAGGTGCTGGCCAGCCTGCGCAGCGTCCGCAACAACTTCTCGGCCCTCACAAACCTGCAGGGAGCACCCAGCCGGTGAGTGTCACTCCCCTTCCCCTCCTCCCACTCCTCCCCGCCCCTCCCTCCCTCTCTCCACATCTCATCTGAACCTGGGGACGACCTTGAGAGACAAGGACGGCACTTTTAACGTTTGCTCCCAAATTGAATGACAAGCCTCCCAGACGCAGAGTCCCGAGCACTCTGCTGGAAGGAGCCAGCCCCCTCGTGGCGTCGCGCCGGTGACCAGTCACGCGCCGCCACCGCCGTTGGACGCTCTTTCTCAGTGGAAGCGCACGAGCGCCATGGGGCCAGTCGCGAGTCGCAACAAAAATGCGAGCAAAAAATATAAATAAACATTTGTGGTCCCTCCCTCTCTCGCTCGCTGTTCCTTCCCTGGCCGCCGCGTCATTCCGGCTGCAGCGGTTGCTTTTTGCTTGTTGCGTGGATGCTGTGGACGCGCTCATAAAATAACCGGGGTGAAGTTAAAAATAAATTCCACGGGATGCGACGATGGGAGATGCGGTGCCTACGCCCACCTCACTTCCTCACCGAACTCGGCTTCTCACGGTGCCCAATACTGGCACCGGGATGGCAACAGTGGTGGCGCTCGCGAATCACAGCGAGAAGCTCCTGGATTCCATTCCTGACTTAGTCATCTTCCTGTGTGTGTTTCTATGTTCTCCCCCTGTTCTGCATGGACTCCAGGTTTTCCGGGTTCTACCCATAGCTTATTTAGGGGTAGGGAACGTCCGGCCCGCAGGCCATATAAGGCCCGCAAAATCATTTAATCTGGCCCTGCCAAGGCAACCGCACGACTCGAAATTCAATCCATATTGGAGCTTTTTTCATAGCAACATAAATTTAATTTTGTATGGCCCGCGAATGATGTTATAAATATCCAAATGGCCCTTGGCAGTAAAAAGGTACCCCACCCCTGGATTAAATAATCACACTTATTTTGGTCTTTCGGTGAAGCCAAGTATGGCCAATACCAATGTAACTGCTGAAAAGTTATCTGCAAATTACTCAATTAGGATGACACACAGCAGCATCGCCCCTGACTGCAATGACTCGGCAGGACCCTCCTGAATAAGAGTATTGAGACTCAGTGAGTTTTTTTTCTGGATAAGCAAGCGCTGTAATAATAATAATCGTAATACAATGAGAACTGAAGTTTAAAGGTAAAAGAGAGAGGTGCTCGGAGAGGTGGGAGATGATGATCCTGTCGAAGATTTCCCAAGGGAAGCGAAGTTCGAGATGGGGCAGAAGTTGGCAGCGTTGTGTGGATGCGGTGCGCACCTGCGGTGCCCCGGGCGGGGTTAACGGCAGCAATGCCGAGGGCCAGGGGAGCAGCTCCAGCGGAGACGCTGACCACCCCATCGTGTCGAGTGCCGCGTTGTTGACCGAACGTTTGTGTCTCCCTCTCTCCCCACTCCATCTGCTGGGCGACAGCCGGTCTCCAGCTGGGAATCAGACCTCCTATCCCCGAGCAGCCCCTTCCGGTAATAACAAAGCACAGCTACTCACTCATACAACGCAACGCAGAGACCAATACCAACACCCGCCATTCGCCACTAAGCGATGGTGACATTACCACGGCGCCTGTGCCAGGCCAGGTGCACTTTGAGGCCACGTGAAGTGTCGAAGGCTCGTTGACAGGAGGTCGCGGTACATACCCAAGTGCCGTGTGTTGGCTGACTGAGATGGCACACAGATACACCAGCTGTGTCCCCTGCTGTGTCAACTTGCTGCATTTTTGCACATGAACCCAGCCACACACACTCATTCACACACCCTCACAACCCAGAGACACACAGCTACACACACTCATTCACACACCCTCACAACCCAGAGACACACAGCCACACACACTCATTCACACAACCCTCACAACCCAGATACACACAGCCACACACACTCATTCACACACCCTCACAACCCACAGACACAGCCACACACACACTCATTCACACACCCTCACAACCCAGAGACACACAGCTACACACACTCATTCACACACCCTCACAACCCAGAGACACACAGCTACACACACTCATTCACACAACCCTCACAACCCAGATACACACAGCCACACACACTCATTCACACACCCTCACAACCCACAGACACACAGCCACACACACTCATTCACACACCCTCACAACCCAGAGACACACAGCTACACACACTCATTCACACACCCTCACAACCCAGAGACACACAGCCACACACACTCATTCACACAACCCTCACAACCCAGATACACACAGCCACACACACTCATTCACACACCCTCACAACCCACAGACACAGCCACACACACACTCATTCACACACCCTCACAACCCAGAGACACACAGCTACACACACTCATTCACACACCCTCACAACCCAGAGACACACAGCTACACACACTCATTCACACAACCCTCACAACCCAGATACACACAGCCACACACACTCATTCACACACCCTCACAACCCACAGACACACAGCCACACACACTCATTCACACACCCTCACAACCCAGAGACACACAGCTACACACACACATGCACACACACACACGCTCACCCTCGCTGCTCATCATTTGACACACACAGTGCCCTGACACACACAGTGACACACACAGTGACCTGACACACACAGTGACCCGACACACACAGTGACCCGACACACACAGTGACACGCACAGTGACCCGACACGCACAGTGACCTGACACACAGTGACACACACAGTGACACACACAGTGACCTGACACGCACAGTGACACACACAGTGACACGCACAGTGACACACACAGTGACCTGACACACACAGTGCCCTGACACGCACGGTGACCGGACGTGTGTGGTCGCGTGCGACGTCACCGGCGGGCACAGTCGCCGGCCCCGTGCGGTGTTGTGACGCACGCGCGGTGTTGTGACGCACTCGGTCGACCCCCGAGGGGGAGGGTCCGGCAGCCGTGGAGGTGGGGGGGTCCGGAGGGGATGGGGGGATGGCCGCGAGGCGTCGTTGCCCCGGGAGTCTCTGCGCCCCCTTCGGACGTTAGGGGGTGGTGGCGACGCAGCTCGGGAGCATTCGCTCGGAATCCCACCGCGACGCTCACCCGGCCGCTTGCTGTGGCTTCTAAAGCCACCTCTTCCTTGAGAGAGAGAGGGACTCGGTGGGTTCTTGCCTGGATATAAAGGCCTTGTTGCATGCATCTGCTTCATCAGATCTGCTCTTTGAGGCTCGTGTCTTCACGTGGATTCCTGACGGGAATACAGTGTGTGTTACGCACTCGGCTCTGTATCGTGGGCATTTTCACCGGATGATAGGCATCCTAAACGTCACTTGGTTTGGCATGGCAACTCGTGGCGACCTACGGCTCTTCGGTGCGCTCTTATGAGCATTTTTATTTATGTTTGTTTACCTGGGAAAGTCTCACCTTGAGTCTCGAGATTTGTTTTCAGAAGAGTCCTGCGAAGTTTTTGCAGTAGGTGAGGGTGGACGATGTTGCTGAGCAATTTTGTCAATATTGGGATATGTGTGTTTAGCTATGGGAGGAGGAAACCGGAGAACCGGAAGGAAACCCACACAGAACAGTGGGGAGAATATTCAAACTCCGCACACACAACGGCACCCAAGTCAGGGATCAAACCCAGGCGCTTTTCAGCGTGAGGTGCTAGTGTTGCCACTGCGCCACCCACTCCACCACCCTGTGGGTAACAGTGGCAGAGTCGCCCTGCACGCGCTCGATCTCAACGCACGTCCCAGACGCTCGGCAGGGCTGAGCCTGGTCGGCACTCGCCTTGTGAAGGATGCGACTGGATATGTTTCCGATGGTTGACTGGGGGTTTTGAGACCGAGCCTTGATTGCCGAAGCAGAGAGCACGTGGTGTATCCAGTGAATTGAAAACACTGATGACTCTGCTCTCACCGTACGCGTGGCCACATTGGCGCCGAACCTCCCAGTCCCATTCTCGCGCCGGTGTCGAATGTGACGCTTTGCCACTGCCTCTCGGGTCGCCAGAGGCTGCTCTCCCGTGTGGAGACGCGTGGGCCGCTAACGCCCCCGAGTCACGACAGTCTCCACGTACGTCTCCGTGTGCCGCGAGACCTCCGCACCCGCTCCGCTCTCTCCTCGGTCGCCACGGTCAATAGCGTAAATGTTTCCTCTCGGAGAACGTAAAACGGGAATAAATGGATTCACAAACGCACACGGAGAAACGAGGCGCATGCGTAAACGCTTCTGGCCCGGCCTGTGAGACGTTTTCACTCCAGCTGGACCTGCACGCGAGTTATTTACGCCGTCGTCCCCGCGTCACGAGCTCCCACAACCCTGGCACTTCGCTCAATGTACCGGACTCACACTCCATTCCATCTCCCGGCGCAGAAGTTGAAACGACGTGGCCGGTTGTAATTACCGGCAAAACGTCACGGTACTAAAATTATAAACTTTGTCCGTTTCCTCTCCAGCACACCGGTCTGCTGAAGTAGTCGCTCATTGGCACGTTTTCTTTACGTGACAAACCTTAATGATCGACTGTGTCGGGTGGTGGGGGGTTTAACGACACATTTATAGTCACGCAATGTCACCCAAAAACACCTCTTATGGATGTGGGGAAGTTTCTCAAAGCACCCAGCCCCCCAGCCCGGCCGCCCACCCCGGCCCCATCCCCAGCCCGCCCCCACCCCCAGCCCGCCCCCCCCGGCAGCAGTGTGAGTGGGCTGAGCACTGTGAGTCGATGGCCAGGTTGCGTGTACTGGGTAGCTGGCAACTGGCTGAACGAGAGCATCCATGGAACAAATCAAAATTAACTTAAAACCAACAATTGTGGTTGTCGCCCGGAGATGCGACAGCGCCCCTTGCAGACAGAAGCGGCGGTAGCGTGACGGTGGCCACGCGTGCCATGTCTGCGTGTTTATGGAATTCGGCTCGGGAGATTGCAGGCTTAGTGGTTGGCGGTCCAGGAAACATGAGTTTGATTCCCGGCTGATATCTGCACCTGACTGTGACCCTCGTGTAGGCCACCTCGGAGTCACCACCGCCAGGGCGTGTGAACATGAGCCTCGCACGTGACGTCTCGAACACGCACGCAGACTCGCGCACACACCGTAATCACACGCACTGGGATGCGTGAGACACAAACACACCGGGTTAAGTGGCGTAGGCGGCAGAGTGGTGGCATAGTGGTTAGCGCACTGCACTAAGAACCAGTCACGGCTAACGTCAGTGGCGAGTGATAAAGGATCCGGTGGCACTGTGTTGTTGCTCTGGGATTGTTTCTGAAATTGGTCCCAAGGCCAACTCAGCCTACAAATGGGTACCTCCTGAAATGGTATTGGGGACCAAGATAATTGAGCACGGTTCTTGACTATACAGTCTCCATACAGCTCAACGGAATTGTTGTTCTGTGTCCAGGGTGTTGTGTCTGGCTAGACGTGAGTGATTCTGCGGTGTCCCGCCCACTGCCGCACCGGTGCAGTGTGCCGCTCACTGCCGCACCAGTGCAATGGACAGTGCTGTACGTGCGGCAACCCGGAATCCGGGTGTTTACCGGAATCCGTGTGTTTACCGTTTTCTTATTGCGATCACCGGTATTGCAACAAAAATCTTTTTGAACCACCCTGGTTTGTGATAGAGTTTGGGGTGTTGGATGAGTGGTTCAGCGAACTGCGCTAAAAAAACCTGACAATCGGAGTTCACTTCCTGACCACGGACTCCATCAGCGACGATTATCTGACCTGGCCCTGGACCTTTCCTTGCTCAAACTGAGCCTTATATGAGTAGTACCTGATGCACTGGGGAGACAAAAGCAGCTGGGCATGGTGCTTGCCATACCCCACCACCCCCTGTTGCACGATTCCGGTTTTAATAACTCCTCGCTAACAGCCCTGTACGGCTGTAGGAAAGGGGTGGGGGGGGAGTTAGTATTTGTGTGAATGTACAGTGTGTTGCAGTCAGTGGCTGTGTTGGCGTGTGAGTGTACGTGTAAGGGTGCCTCGTATTCGCGGTTGGTTATCAGCGCTGCAGAACTCCCCACTTCCGAGCTGGCGGATGAACCGCACGCGCGCGAATGTGTGAGCGCCCGCGCAAACGTGGGCAGCGCTGACATATTTGCTTGAGAGCTGACCACCGCACTCGGATTTTTTACCCAGATTCGCCTCCTGGCCCCGGTGGCATTTGTTCTCAGAATCTGAGCCTTCCTTGGATACACAAAGCCGAGAATGAGTGCCTTCGTTACTGCCAGTTCCCATTTCCCCACGCCTCTGAGATGAGAATGAGAGTAGCTTTTGTAAGATGAGGAGTCTGTGCAAATTGTGGGTTAGGCCATGTAACAAATCTGACCCCAAAAAAATTAAGTATGAATCATGATACTGGCTGCGAAAGCCAGCGCGTTGTGTTTAGCATCTAGTATACTTGATCCGAGACTTCTTTTCGTTCCAATGCTTTTTAATAATATTAATAACATATACGACTTCAACAACAAATTGCCAGATCAAATTCTGTTTTT